TGTCTGTGAGTGCTCAGCAGGGCCTGAGGGTAAAGTAGAAACAGCTCTACCTGGCTCTGAAAGTTTCCAGGAACCACACTGAGGTGGTATCACCTAGCAGATATATGCACTAGAAGAGAGCTGTGGAGACTGTTCTTTGGACTTGTAAATGTATTGTGATGTAGTAACTTTCAGAGGGTGTGAGAATGTCAGTGGTTGCACATGCAGGGACCTAGCAACAGCGTGAAGGAGAGCTGGGCACTTACTCATCTGCTACAGCTTAGGAAGCATTTGGGAAGTTTTGATCTGCTGCTGCAGATAACTGTTCTTTTTAAGTTTTCACTGTTTTGGGTCTTGTTTACTTTTTTTAATAGTTTCTGGGGGATTTTTTTAACCTGAAGTTCTACTTTCCTGATGTAGTCAGTGTTGTGTGCAAACTCACACCCCCAAAAAAAAAATCAACTATAAATTATTTTGGGAAGGTAGCACTGTTTATCCGTTTGTTAGCAACTGGTTCAGTCCTAGCAGTAGCTTTGTTAAAGTAATCTCAGCAGTATTTAGGTTTGGAGGATCTATGATCTGAGTTGCTATGCAAGTTATAAAGCAGAGAAAGTTTTAGTTTTAATTCTTGGTCAGGAGTACTGGTGGTTAAAAGGAACTGATATTGCCTGAAGGGCATTTTATCAATCAAAGAAAGAAAGTCACAACATAAGGATTCAAAGAATATTGGTTTGTGTGCTGTGCATTGTAGGTTTTTACACATTTTTCTCAAATATTCATTTTCCTAATCACTCAGGCTTTGACAAGACTTTACCTGGACAAGGCCACATTGGTTTGGAATGGCAATGCAGTGTCCGGGCAGGAAGAACTGAGTAAATTCTTTGAAATGTTGCCTTCTAGTGAGTTCCAGGTTAACGTGTTGGATTGCCAGCCCGTGCACGGTAAGGTTGTGCTCCAGTTTACTTACTTATTTTCAGTCCCTTTATAACGGTTGAAAGTGACCTGCCATTATAATAGCACTTCACACTTCTTTTGGAACAAGCTTAGAGAAAATACTGAGGGTCAAAATGTCAAGTTGTGCATAAATAAAGCACAAATCCAGAGATACAGCCACCCCACACTTTTTCTCATGTCGGGGAAAATGTTCTAAGGACTTTTTTGTTAAGGTCATGTTGAGATGTGATGTGTTTTCATGTACTGAAAAAGTCTGGCTTGTCAAGTTATGTCATCCTTGGCAATGGCTAAGAGTCAGGAGACCTCTGCTGTACCCTCTGATACCGACCTGTAGTATAATGTGGAATGAGTCATTAACCTGTATGTACCTGGATTTCTTTACATCTAGAGCAGATGTAAAGCTCTTTACATTTGTGATTAACAACTGCCAAAGAAAGGCTTAAGTAAGTGAGAAGTTAATAAATTATTTCTAACGGGCATTTTGGGGGTATAAGTGAGGAAAAAGCCTGTGGTCAAGCACGCGTGCTTTGCTCTGCTGTGGAAAAGATATAATTGCTAATAGGGGGGAAAAAGTGTATGCTACTTGATAAATACATATCTCTATGTGTATCTCAAATAATGAGAGCTTATTTCAAGCAAAAATTCATGACATGAAAACAAAAGCAAACACAAAGACGTGCTGGTGAGCGAAAACACCATTGTCTGTATAGAAATGATGCAACGAAACTGTACTTGCCATGAATGTGTAACCAGCTTTTAGCCTACGACTAGTATAACCAGAATTGAATGAAACTTCTGTGTACATTTCCTAGTTCTTTACCTGTTAGTCTTTTTTTGAGTTGTTTTCTTTATACTACTTCTCCTTGTGAAGAGCAAGCTACACAAGGCCAGACGACAGTCCTCGTGGTGACAAGTGGGACAGTAAAATTTGATGGCGACAAGCAACGCTACTTCAATCAGAACTTCTTGCTGACAGCACAGGCCACACCCACCAACACAGTGTGGAAGATCGCCAGTGACTGTTTCCGCTTCCAGGACTGGGCCAGCTAGTGGGGCTGGCAGGGGAGCGACCTCTCTCTCTCTGTCTCTCACTCACCACGCTCAAGTTGTCTTCATGGACAGTCGTTCTCCACACGCGGGAAACGCTCGCTCCTCGTGCTGCATCTCTCCTTGGGGAAGGTCTGCAGAGGTTTTGGGGTTGATCCCAATGACCGAGAGTTTAGTAGTAAACCGTCTGAAAATGTGAGAGGTTGCTCGGATTAGTTGAACCTAATAAAATGCTGAAGGTAGCGAGCTGTGATGGAATCATTCCTAAAATGCCTTACGTGCAGCTGTGCTGCCACTTCCAGACTTAACTGTATGTAGTGCTGAATTTCTCCTATTTGAACACCAAATCCTCTTAATGTCCAATCCTGACCAAACGTAATTTTTTTCCAAGTTGAAAAGATCTGTTTTTATGGTAGCATCTTCCCTTTTTTGAAGAAGATGCTCGTGGCACATAGAATTCTCAAAGCTACCTGCTCTTCATTGTAAGAGACTGGGAAGGATCAATACTGATTTCTAGTGTTTGCAAAAGCAGCAAATACAGCTGCCGAGCATCTAATCTCTCAAATATAGATTTAGTCCTTTCCCTGATATGAGAGGACTCAATATTCTCATCAGTTTTCCTTTTGGCTTAAGCTTCTCAGAGTTTGGTTGCAGTTAATTTACACTGATCTGTATGTAGGGCACGCTGGATGATTCGGAGCTCCTACGCCAACAGCTCTTGTCACATGCGTGTGAAGGACTTCAAACTGATTGTTTGTCTTTTGAAGTCTTACAGTCTAAGAAATAGATCAGTTACATAATTTCTGTTTGCTTTAACTGTTACTTCTGTTGCTATGAAATTTGGACTATTTCTCATATTCGGTCAGCAAGTTTTGAATCCCTACTGGCTTTTTGGGAAACGTCATAAAAGAGTGGCACTGAAAGTGTGTATTACTGTGAAGCCTTCAACTTTGCTCTTCAGTACTGTTACTCAGAACAGGTGCTTAGATTATTTTCAATTTAAAACAGCTCTGAACACAAGTACCATCTTCCTCTCATGCAGGTATTTAGTATAGTTTTCATTTTTTTTTAAATATTACCTTTAATTATTGATTCTGGGGGGGATTTGTGTGTCTTGCTTTAAATTTAAGTTTAAAGCTTTCAACTGCTTTAAAAAAAGTTTACAAGACCGCAGGTTAAGACTCTTCATCTTAACTTGTGATCTTAAGAGTAAATCTGAATATCAGCAGATTTCTTTCAGTCTGGTGTGTTTCTATTTGAGCTGAGTGGGGAAAAAAAAAATAGCTATATACATGAGAGTACAATTGCTTTTAACTGAAAATATATGAGGGGAGATTGCAACTCTCATCTTAATACATGTTGCAGTGAGAGCAGCGACCTGAATACAGTAGTTACAACTGCAGCTCGCTTCTTTTTATGACCTAAATCAGGAAGACTGTGAAAATGCCTAATGTCTAGCTTGTGTAAAACATCTGTGGTTTGCATTATAATCCCACAAATAATGGGATGTTTAGATGAAATGACTGGGTTTATTTCATTTTAAGGCACTCTAGTCTTTACACCAGTTAAGTTAGAGTTACTAACCTGTCTCTGTTCAGAAGCTGTTTATGTTCTGAACTATTTGTGTAACTATTTTTCAGCCTGAAAAATATGAATTCCTGTAAAACAACGCAAGAAGTCGAGAATTTTTGAAAACTGTAAATACTGTAGATAGTGTTATTTCTGTATGTAGTGAAGAAGGAATCACTATTTAAATACTCTTTAATCTTAACAGAATCTGCAAGGTTCATATATTTGTATTTCTTCTACAAGTTTGAAAAAAAACCTTAACCCAAATTTGCCTGTTACTGATACAGCATTGTTGAACTGTGACACTGGTGTGGTGTGCTTTTCTGGGTTTTTAATTTGCTGTTGGTTGTTTAAATAGTGTTACAGATCTGCTTTGCATACACGGCAGAGGTTTTGTGAAATGTAGTGGTGGGTGCAACTGTAGCGCTTGTGTGTGAACTTTGAAGGCAGTCACCAGAGCACACACTTGTATCTGTAGCTGGTAAGCTTGTCCTGGCAATACTCACTGTATATTTTTATTCGAGTTTTAATTACTATAGTAGTTTTTCAAGCTTTTGCTAGGCAGACTGGGAGATAGAGAATATATGAGACAATGTTTCAGTCAGATGTTATTCTTCTCAATTATTTTCCTGCTATTCAAATGCAGGCTGCTTTTAAATCTGACTTCTGCAATCAATATTTAAAAAACTGAACCAAAAAAAAAAAAAAAAAAAAAAAAAAACAAACCAACCAAAAAAAAACCCAAACAAACACAACAAAATCAAACCAGGACTACCTGCAACAGTTTAGGAATCTTACTACCTGGCCTTGCTGGAAAAACACAGTTTAAACTCTTAGTAAGTGGGTAGTTGGAATTGGCCTTGGTATGCATACAGGGTTTATGGAGAGAAACTTATCAGAATGCAATTGCCTTGACCTAGGGGGAGGTGTCAGTCATGACCTGCTGATTCCATCATCAGGATGATTCAGTTTCACCATCATTTATAACTAAAAACGCTGGTTTACAAAATACTTTTATGAAACATACTAAGTGATAATACAGCTATTAGATTAAATCAGTTATTTTTACAGCTGAGTAATTAATAGCACAAACAAAATCTCTTGTGTGGTAGCTGGAGAAGTTAGGGGTGCTGCAGCTCAGTGCTGCTTGTTGAAGTTTCTGTGCTGAAATGAGCAGAAGGGAACATAGGAATGCTTTTTACTCTGCTCAGTGCAAAACTATCCAGCTGGTTGAATGTTGCCCATTGCTGACTCTGCTGTAACGTCCAAAATTTACAGCAGGCATTTATTAAGTGAACATGTTTATGCTCTAAAGTGTAAAGAGAAGTTAATAGTACCATTGTTGCTGTTTGATAACAAGTTATTCATGTACAACCAGTCAGTGAAAGGCAGCTAAGGAGCTAAGCACTTCCACATGCTGAATTGTGGCTACTGAAGACTTGATGGATCTTCTCTTTTGTGTATAGTCTCTGTATGGTCTTTTTCAGTCATTAATTTTATGTTGCTTTATTTGCTTTTCGTACTACAGTTAAACTGATGTAAAACATTTGTGCTGTTTCTTGGAGTGGAGAAAAATGATTTGTTCTGGTGGTATGAATGTTTTGTTCTGATGGGTTTATTAAGTGTATGCTTCCTTAGCCTGATTGCAGAAAAGCACATTATAAAGAAATGCTGTTTTATCAGTAAAGTAACTTTCCACACTTGGATATATTTTGTAAGTTTTTGGAATTGTTTAAGACTTCTTGTAAGATTAATTTAAAAAAAAAAAAAACACACAACAAAAACCTACTTTATGTTCTGCTTTTTTTTAATTGTTAGAAGTTTTCATAGTTTGTTCTTATGATACTAAAAGTGCAAGAAATAATTTCTGGCTGCCTTATCTTTGCTACTTGTGTTCTACGTATGAGTTGTGTGATTGTTGCAGGGTGGTGCTGGGGCACTGCAGAACAGGCTGCCTGTGAGCTTTGTCAGTGCTGCAGTAACAGAAAAGTGTCTGGGATAATAACCCTAGAACAAATGCCTCACCAAGAGCACTGTCAAGCAGTAAATGGTGCTAAGCTAGCTAGAGTAAGGATCTCCAACTGACTTTTCCCTCTGAAATTTACTGATGTTTAGGCTACTGGCCAACAAATACCTGGATGAAGTCAAACAAAACTTTTGCCAGAAGCTTGGGTTGTAAATATTTTCACTCAGAACATATTGTTGTGCCTCTTGCTGTGTCTCTGCTAAGAAGTGAAACACTCAAATAAGGAGCAGTTCGTGTGGTAACTCTGGTGAGTTATTCACGTTAGTTTGCTGTTTAAAACGTCACATTACTGATGAACACTTGCCCAGTGTAGGTAGCAGCTGTTAATTGCTGGTGATGAAAAGACGAGGACACTAATTCAAGGTCATCACTTGCATGGAGGCAGATATTGCTCTAGAAACGTGTCCTAGTGTTCTAGAAACCCTTAGTGCCAAATACCTTGTAAAGCTCTTGCTGTGTTTGAAGGTGTGGATTTCTGTGAGGCTTTGCAAGCAATCATTTCTGTAAGTATCCTGCACAAGGCTCTGACAGCTGGGGCAGCATAAAGGTTTAGGAGTGATGGGGGAAAAGAAATTTTTGTCTTCTTACAGTCTACTTCAGTCCCAGTGGGTTTGCAGCTTCATGGTTTTTTAAGGTTTCCAACCAGTACACAATGTATTGGACTACCTAAAACAAAAATAAATGAATGTTGCTGCTGGGTTTATACTAATTTATCAGGGTCTCTGTATACCACAATACGAATTCCTCTTAGGTGTTCAAGTACTTTGGTCTGTGGTTTTGTGCCAACAGAGGAAGAATGAACTCGGTGTGACCAGCTCTGCACTGCAACCTGTCAGCTGCAGCTTGTTCCTAGGTTCTGAGCATGTAAAGCACATTTTTCTTCAGAACTCAACACATCCAGGCCAAGTCCTTAGGCTCATCTGGATGGAACAATCTGCAGGAGCACTGTCAATTTTTATGTGCAACTGAGTTGATGAGGAGACTTGAATTCCTAATGCACTGAAGTTTTGCTACTCTAAAAGGCTTAATCCTGTTCTGTTTCTCCCAGTCCTGGGGCAGTTCTCTTTCACAGGGTTCCTGTTTCCAGCTGAACTCTATGGGTGTTGCCTTCGTTGGAGAGTCTTCAAGAAATTGAGGGCTTCATTCAAGTGGGTAGTTCTGTTGTTGAGTCCTGTGAGACTCTTTAGTTCCCCTCTAACTATCCCATTGTACATGTTCCTCTTTAGTTTGTGACTTAACAGAATTGAAAACATGTTGTAGACTCCTAACAGAAAATGTTACTCTGTGTTTATGGGGAAAAAGACAAACTGTAACAGAACAGTGCACTGAAAAATATTTTGTACCTTTACAGTTACTGATCCTACATCATCTTGATAGTAATAACACGAATCAGGGGTTTATGACTGTA